AGATGAATCTAATCACAGGAAATGGATCTTGATCGCATGGACTTGAAGATTAGATTTTGAGCTTATATATTTATGATAGAGTTGTTAGAAATTTTCCTTTTAGAATTACATAGTTTTCAATGGATTTTTCATTGTAAGGACAACTGTTTTCCACTGCTTTTATAAATAAAATAAATTTTTGTTTGACTTATTTATTTGTTTATTTCCTTGCAATGAAATCGTTATGAAAATTGGTATTTGCATATTTCTACAACAAATGGATATGATTCTTATTTATGGAAAAGTCGAGAATTTACCAAATAGGGAGAGTTTCTCATCGCCCATATTTCAATTGGACAGAAATTTGGAATCACGCAACTTGGTTGCATGATGAATAAGAAATTTCATATTTGGAAATTAGACTAATTTGTTGACAAAGTATCCACTGGAGGACTAGGAGATCGAGCACACAAAGTTGCGTGTTGATCAAGTCCACCATAAGAGTAACAAAGATATTCGTCATGATTTACTAAAGGTTTAGTAAATATGATTATACTTATAAGATTAAGTGTAATTCGGAATTCAATAAAAAGGTTTAAATCAATGGCAGAACGAATAAGAAGAATCAAGTAGGCAGAAAGATAAAAGGTTCTCCATTCTAAGAAGAAGGGAGAGTACCTTTTATATTTTATGATAGGTCTTAATGATTAAGAACCATATCTCAATTGATCCTTTAAGAGAGTCTTAGTACAATTGTATGTTTAAGAAGAGGAATCAAGAATTAAAGAAATGGTTAAATCAAAAGGTTAATCATACTTCGTTCCAATAACAAGTCTTAAAGTTAAGATTGTGACAATGAGTGAAAAGTATTTAGAAGGTTTATAACATTCATCAAATGTGGAAAGTTGTGATGTCTTGGATAAGACGAAGGCCAACTAGGACTAATTTATGAAGTGTTTTGATAAAAGCTACACTAACTCTTGAATATTTGGTTGTCAAGAAATGTTTATTGACAAGTGAATCTTATATGTCAAGGATTCAGTGGGAGTCTTAATGGTCTTGAAAGGTTTCAAGAACAAATCAAATAAACCTTATCGTTCATCACTAGCACACCAGTTGAGGTTTACAATCTATCGTGTTGACACTATTTTGTTTTCTATGCCATTCCAATTGAGTTAATTGTGCATATGAGTCCTATGAGTTCTAGTTTGAATGCATAAAAGGCATGGGCCTTGATCAATGGAAAATACTTTGATAGGCAAAGGTGAACTATTTAACTACTTGGAAGACATGATGGGCAGATGTGCTACCACAAGGAAAGAAATCAAGATTAAGAAAGTTCGGTCCATATGAGTTTCAATTTGTCGTAAACTTTGGTTTTTAACAAATTTACATGGATAGGAACACATACACCGTTTAAATCTAAGTGTCGTAAGATTTCCTCCTTCATGAAAATGATTGTGAGAAAATGCTTTCACTAAGAAAGATTTTAAGAAGATAGTGATTGTAAAATTGCATTCTCGAATTCGATTATGGTTACGGTATCCCTTTCCATAATTTGAATTGTGAGGTTTGGCAATTAGTCTTAATTGTTTAGACACACATATGAACTATCTAAGGAAAAGGTGTATAAGCTTAAGAGGCCTTGATAAAAGATTATCAACGCATTAAGTATTAGAAACATTGACTTAAGAAATTCAATAGGTATTGTTTTTCTGAATGTTAAGATATTTATGAATACATGTCAAAGCTAGTGGGAGCATAAGTGTTATGTTTTATAATAATCATAATGATAGTGGCAAGTATTGTAAGTTGGCAATATTAATTATAGAAAACAAGAGTCATTCCTTGCAAAGTTGTAAGGATGGAATAGTTGTTTTGCTATAATTAAGGGAGAGAATATTATGCTTCATTTCAAATCTAAAGGCTTAGGTTGAGAAATGTTGATAAATTTAGTCAAAGGTACATAGTGTGTTCTTAAAATTTCAATTATGATTACGTGTCCCATACGCTTCGATTATGCATCGTGTCCCATACGCTTCGGGTATAGGATCGATTGCAAATGATTTAATGTTTGACCGTTCTAAAATTTTCCAAATGTCTAGCGCATTTAAGGGGAAAAAGGATTAGGATCAGTTTTGACTAAAATAATTAAACAACTATCAAAGGACAATCCAAAGTTCGACGAGGATTGGTTGCTTATGAGTAGTTGGAAGCAAGGTATTGAATGGACCATATCGACATTATTATGAATAGAAAAGATTCTATTAAGAATGAGTTGTCATATGGAAATTATAGAAATGTTTCCATAATGGATGGACCATATCGACATCGATACGAATAGATAATATTCTATTAAGAATGAGTTGTCATATGGAAAATATGGAAGCGTGTCCATATTGGGAAATTGAATATTGAAGAATTTGACTAGATTAGAAACTTTTATGCAAAAGGATGTTCAAATGAATGTACTTTGAGTGAGGGACATCATATCTAAGGAATTGTCTTGTAACAATCCCCGATAGAGGACTTTGTATTTTCATTGGCAATAGTCTTTGTGACTTTGGTGCAGTGATATTACGAAAGGATGATTGCATAAAATGTTAGAACCTAGTGTATTCTATAAGTAGCAAGAATTTGATATTCTTTCACTTATGAAAAAGGATTTGGAGTTGTGAAATGAGAAAGATTGGAAACGTGTTCAATTTGATCTATTTCACAAAGTAAGAACCATATGTAAACATTGTGTGCATGCTAGGAGCATGGGACAAGTGCAATAATTCAAGTGAGAAGTTGATTACCCGAAATGACAAATAATGAGTAATCGATATGGTGATAAATAAAAGGTGGTTTATTTATGCTCAAAGGTTTGAGGCGATATGGGATTAGTATTATCCTTGTGTTTCACTTTGCATGTTTTGACTTCCTGAATAAATTGGTTTAGAACAGTCAAATTATTCGAACCGGGCAACAGTCGTTCGTATGTTGGAAATAGATATGAATGGAGATTGTTGTGAATTGGTGTGTGGATTGTCTAAAAGAGTATTAGACATAAGCAAATGTTTGCTGCAACGTTCATGAGTGCTTATGAATATGAATTTGAGCATTGGATTAAACCCATGCTCTCTTGGATCACTCCATGAATTGGATCACGAGTGATTGGTGAGACGATAACATATTATATTCTTGAAACCGAGATGTGTGAGTTGTATCTTGCTAATCGGGTGCACATTGATAATATGAAAACGCACTAGTAACTTGGTGTTATAAAACATATTGTTGTGTGTGATTCGGTAAGTGAGTGCAAGCAAGCATTGTATCAAAGTTTATACGTTCCTTTTATCCAAAGAAGGATAAAAGCGATATCTTCTGGCCCCTCGATGGTTTAGTGATGACAAACGTAAATGCTCGGCCGGACTAGGGCTAATTTGATTTGTTCAATTAGTCAGTCGTTATAAAACGGAAGTCGAGAGATAGTACAAAGATAATGATTAGAAATCATGTCTCAGACGATATCTAGAATGGAGGCATATATGATCCCTTATCTAAGGACACGCGTATCTGATAGGATCAGAGTTGACAGTGACTTTGGAAAGCTACGATTGCAAATCAGGATCTGAAGTCATACGCATAATAGTTATTAGACTTATCCAAGTGGGAGACTGTTGGATTAGTGTCTAAGTCCATAACTATTTTGGTATATACTTGACCCGATGGTGCATGGTCCTTTTAGGTTGCCTTCAGCAAAGCAACTTGATAGGATGAATTATGGAGATAAAGGATTAAATATGATTTATTAATGTATTATGAGAATAATATATTAAAGGAGAAATCATATTGTTTAATTAATATTAGTCAATAATTAATTAGTAATTAGTTTTGTGACTAAAACAGATTAATTAAACTTAAGGGACTGGAATTGTAATTATAAGATAATTGCAATTTGGGCCATGGATTGCCTTATATGATAAGGTGGACGAATTCTATGGGAAAGCCCATATGAAATCGTCTAAGGCCTTAAAGAAAAGGCTCCATAGGTTGCTTAGGGCTTAAGCATCCAAATTAGGGTTTCCTTGTTAGATAACCCTAATAGCCTTACTATATATAAGACCCTTATGACCCAAAAACGTGGCTAATGATCTTTCTAGGGTTTCACACGTTTTTGGGCAGCCTCCATCCTCTCTCCTCTTCATCCTCTTGCTTATGGTGTTTGTGAACCATTAGAGGAGTGACATTTGTGACTCTAAGCCTTCTAAAGTTAATACAAGGAGATTTGGGATTGTTATTGCTACATAACAATCAAGGTAACATTATAAACTTATTCTCATGTTAATATGATTATTTGAATGCTGGAATTAGGGTTTATAGTCTTGGATAACATGCATGTACAATAGAGAAACCTAGATCCAAGCTTTAGGGTTTGTATGAGCACATAGGATGTTCTTAGGAACAAAACCCATCATATCATGGAAACAAAACTCACATGGAGTATTAAAAACACTATGATATATAGGGTGATCAAATGCCTTAGTAATTTTATACATATTTAAATATGTTATTCTAGACATGAAAAACTACTAATGCATTACAGTTTTGGAACTTTTAAACTACCACACACTCATGGAAAAATATTGGATATTTAGGAAATAAACTCAGTGATTTTATACGAAACTTACAAATTTTATACATAAACGCTTAAGAACTCACCAACTTAATTGTTGACACTCTTTCAAAACTACTTGTATTTCTCAGGGATTCAGTAATACAGGTAAACCCCTGCTTTTGGAGAAGGCACGCAAAGGCGTTAGTTTAAAACTCATTTTTGTCATCATATTGTAAATTATTTTGAACAAGTATCATTCAACAATGTAACTTTTAAATTATATATATGATGGTTGTTTGACTTTCTTTACTATGTATTAAACTGTTACGATACTACGTGAAGTCATCCGCCCTCGAACGACTACACTGTTGCTCGAATTCCTGATGGGGTGTTGAAGAAAGTTGATCCAACAAATTCTATGTTGGTGGCATATTTGCAACATGTTAATCCTTCAATCGAAACTGGGGTTTTACTAATAACAAATGATGAAGGTTCATCCAAGAAATCAAAGAAGTCGAAGAAGGTTTCTGAAGAGGTAGTTATTCAAGAAAATCCTAAAAAACAATCTAAAATCAAGTCTCCTAAGAAGATTGCAGTTGAAACTGAGACGCCTAAGGAGAAAGTTGTTGCTGAATCTTCGAAGGAATTCATCCCTTCGAAATCAGGTGTGTTTAAAAGATTACGGAATTTCACTTATCAGAAACGAACTTCATCAACAAATCAGTCTCCTACTGTTCGTAAACCTCAGCTAAACAAAAAAGGAGTGAAAGTTCGTGAGATTTCGGCACCGGTTTCCCCATCCTCCAAGAAACGAAGAGCAGAGGATGTGGCGAAGCATATTAACAAGAAGATGAAGAAACGAAATTTGGTAGTTCAAGATGAGTCATAAGATGAAGAGATGTTCTAGAATCTCCTTTGGATTCGAATTCCCCAAAAGTCTCACAACCCTTTCATGAGGCCCATTTATCCTTCCCTAACTAATAGGCCGAAAGTATAAGTCTAACCTCATCAATGGGCCTCTTGGCCCATTAAAGACAAAGAAATATATCCAAGGCCCATAACATATGAAATGGCCCACAATTCCCAAAATACAACCAAGTGCAGTAACCATGTAAGGCCCAATAGCCGAAAAGCCCAAAACAAGCCCAAGCCCATCTATGATACGTACGGTCAGCGTACCACCCTGGTACGAGTAGCGTACATGGGCTCGGCTATTTACTCGCGATGTACTTAGATATACGCCCGACGTACTAATTGGTTAAGAACTTTTCCATTAAGTTCTTAATGCTCGATTATTATATGTACAAAAGTCAGATCTAGGCTTAATAAGATGACCCAAGGCATAAATTGGCAACTTTATGCCTTTGCATGTCCCAAATGTTCCCAACAACCTCATTAAGACCATTTTGAAACTCTTAACCCATGCATGAGGTCAAAACTTCCACCAAGACTCCATTTTTATGTTGGAAAAGGACAAAGGGATGTCAAATCTATCATCTCCATCCTATGAAGGTACTTAACTCACAAGGAAAGGGGTCAAAACCAACTAAGGGGACAAGACTAAAACCCCTAGCTAGATATAGAGAATAAAATGGAAAATTATAATCGTTATACCTCTACGATCTCCTCAAGGTCGACAATAAGCAGATTCTTGAAGCCAAGTGACACTCCAACTCCATTTGCAACTTCTTCTTTTTGGATGAACACTAAAAGAGCCACAAATGCACTCTTAAAGCTCAAGCTACGTTCACAAATAATATTAGGGTTTTCCTAGGCGTTTGAAGATGAATGAAGCAGATAAGGGTGAGGTTTAAAGGAGTTAAGGATATTTATATAGGTCTCAAGTCCAGTTTTTTGGGTTTGAACATGTTTGCACCTACGCCCAGCGTACTCCTAGTATGCCCAACGTATGTGCTGCTCCTCCGTGTTCCTTCTCACCAAGTTCGCTAAGCGTACTCATAAGTATGGTCATCATACTTAAGGGTCTCTTATGCCAAAATAAAGATACTTCACAGGCTATAAATTCATACCTGAGTTGGGTTTTCCAACTCTCCTCCACTTGGACTAGACTTCATCCCTGAAGTCCATAGATGCAAATAAATCAGGGTATTGCTCCTGCAGTTCGTCGTCTAGCGCCCAGATCCATTCGGAACCCTTTCGGTGCTGCCATTGCACCTTTAGCAATTCCACCTCCTTGTTCGGAAGACCCTTCGTCTTCCATTATAATATGGTGACCGGCCTCTCCACATAATTTAGGCTCCCATCCACCCAAATATAATCTAAGGAAATGAAAGTGGACTCATCCATAATACACTTCTGAATTTGAGACACATGGAAGGTATTGTAAATCTAACTAAGCTTCTCTGACAGCTCGAAACGATACGCTACCTTGCCCATTCAGGCTAAGATCTTCAAACGGACCATAAACGGAGACCCCAACTTTCCTATCTTTCAGAATTTGATAATCCTTTTTCCAGTGCAACATCTTCAGCAGTACAAATTCCCCCACCTGGAACTCAAGGTCTGATCACCGCCGGTCACCATAACTCTTCTAGCGGCTCAATGTAACTTGCAACCGGTCGCGCACCTGCTGAATCAATTCGATAATCTTGAGCACTACCTCAGTGCTCCCTATGACCCGATGCGCAACCTCGTCCCAACACACTAGGGTCCTACACCTCCATCCATATAGCATCTCTAATGGAGCCAAGTCAATACTAGCATGATAATTGTTATTGTATGAAAAATCTACCAGTGGGAGGTACGTATCGCAAAAACCTCTAAAATCCAGTACGCATGCCCGAAGCATGTCCTCAAGCGTCAGGATCGTCCTCTCACATTGACCGTCGGTCTGAGGGTGATATTTTGTACTGAAATGTAGTTGAGTGCCGAGTTCCATATGAAACTTCTCCCAAAACCTGGAAGTGAACCAGACATCCCTGTCGGAGACTATAGACAGAAGCTCCCCATGTCTAGCTACCACCTCGCATACATAAGTGTCTACCAACTTCTCCGCAGATATACTCTCGGAACTCGGAATAAAGTGGGCACTCTTCGTCAGTCTATCCACGATCACCCATATAGCATCCACTCCCCTTGTTGTCCTAGGAAACTTTGTGATGAAGTCTATGGTGATCTCATCCCACTCCCACATGGGAATTGGTAGTGGCTTAACCTTATCATGAGGCCGCTGATGCTCGGCCTTGTCCTTCCTGCAGGTCATGCACCGCTCCACGAACCAAGCGATTTCCTGCTTCATGAAGGGCCACAAATAACTCAGCCTCAAGTCCCTATTCATTTTCATAGCTCCTGGGTTTATAGATAAATTGGACTTCTGCGCTTCCTCTAATAACCTCTGTCTCACTCCCTTAGTCACTCATACCCATACTCGGCCACATTGAGTTAAAAGGCCGCGACTATCTTTGACAAACAAAGGATATTGTCCCCAAATTTTCTCTATCTTCCAATTCTCCTTGCCCCCTCGACATGGGGCTCCCTGATTATATCCAACAATGGCGAAATCATGGTCATCCTCATACAAATGGCCCTACTCGGGGACCCCGCCATCTTGTGGCACAATGCATCGGCCACTACGTTGGCCTTCCCTGGGTGGTATCGAATCTCACAATCATAATCCTTCAACACATCCAACCACCTCCTTTGTCATATGTTGAGGTTCTGTTGATCCACCAGATACTTCAGACACTTATCATCAGTATATATAGTGAATCGCACTCCATATAAATAGTTCCTTAAAATCTTGAGGGCGAACACCACTGGCCCTAATTCCAGGTCAGGAGTATGGTAATTCACCTCATGAGGCTTCAATAGCCTCAAGGCATAAGCTATCACCTGATCCCTCTGCATCAGTACTGCACCTAACCCTGAGATGGACGCAACGAAACAAACTACCAAATCCTCTAACCCCTCAGGTAGTATCAGAATCGGGGCCTCGCATAACCTCCGTCTCAGGGTCTCAAAAGCCATCTGCTAATCCGTACCCCACCAAAAGGTCATATTTTTCTTGGTCAATCGGGTCAAAGGCATGGCAATCTTGGAGAAATTTTGGATAAATCTCGGATAGCAACCCGCTTAGCCCAAGAAACTACGAATCTCTGATGCATTCCTCAGTACTTCCCACCATATCACCGCCTCAACCTTGGTTGGGTTGACCGAAACAACCTGCTGATTGATGACATGACTAAAAAACTATACTTCTCGCAGCCAGAAATCACACTTGGAGAACTTTTCATAAAGTTTCTCCGCTCTCAGGGTGTCTAATAGGGCTTGAGTGACCATGAACTTTTCAATTTGACGAACATGTGAGTCAAGGAGAATTATTAGAGGAGGTGGAGGAAGAGAAGTATGATTCCCGGTTCCATCAATGTACGAAGAAGGGATTGATCTTTCACCTTAATCGACACGTGAAAGATCATCTTCAGAAGGAAAGCTCTTTCTAAAAGGGTAAGGAAGACCATAGTTGTTAGAACTAGACATCTAAAAGGGAGAAATTCAAGTTAGTTGATTCAATCATTAATATAACATCCAAATGAAATATTAAGTCTAGGACCCAACACAATATTTCACAATTAGGAAATGGGACATCGTAATCCAATTGTAAATTCTTTGTCGGTATGTGAATGACGATTTGCCAATTCCAGCATGAAAAAGATATTTTAAAATTAAGTTTTAGATGAAATTCCTAGATCTTTTAAGATTGATTGAACTTTTCTGTAACGCCCCGATTCTCAGGTATTATTATTATGGAATTAACTATCAAGTTTCAATGTGTACTCGACGAGTTGGATGCCCTGACTCAATGAGTAACAACGGGATCGGGCCACACGTTTAAGTGACGAACTGATAGAGTCAGAAGAATGACTCGATGAGTTGGAGCTGTAGGGTGAAACCCTAATTTCAGGGGTTTTGCACCATATTTAAGGAATCATTAGCCTCGTCTTACTACCTTACAACCTCTAGATAGTCCAGAAAACCCTATTTCGTGTGTGGTCTTCATTTGAGTGTATTTAAGATTTGAAATGTGGAATTTGTGAAGGAAGGTTGAAGGTCAAGTTGCTAGCAACAAAAAGCTCATGTGGATCTACAAAACTACCTCAGTTAGATTCACTTTGAGGTATCAATTCATCATCTTGGTCTTATTTCCTTCTACTTCTCATATGGGTGAAGTTTAGGGCTTTTTGTCGTGACTATGGAGTTATCATGGTGTATGAGCTACATCTAAAGTTGCAACTGTAGATCTGGACCCTCCTTGGGTTCTAAGTTCATAAAGTTCAGAGCCTTGCAATGTATAAACCCTTCCTTAGGAGTTAAACCCCATTCCAATCTTAGATATTGGCTTTTTAGTCTTTAAAGCCATGCATGTTGGTAAAGGTGGGAACTTTACGTTGATAGCACACCCTAGGACCTCAGATGTAATGTTTGGAACGATGGGTTAGCTCAGAATCATTTGATTATGGGTATAGGTTGCATGGACTCGGTGATTCGGATAATCCAACTCGGCGAGCCTTCTGGGTTTGTCCCGATTAGTTAAACACACTGGACTCGACGAGTTAGAAGCTACACTCAACGAGTCGGGTCAACATGAGTGGTTGCTCGTTGACATTAACCAAAGGAAGGACAAGTACCTTTACAGGGCATTTTGGGTAAATTGGGCCAATAGTGGACATATGTATAAGGACTTTCAAGTTAAGGGCTCGGTGTTGGGCTTTGGCCCAACGAAAGGGAATGGACTTAATAAATTATGTGGACACATAGTCAAAGGAGTAATGTTAGGTATTAACCTATTGTTTATTAATATGTGACAGTTCGGGATTCCCAGTGTGACGGTAGTTAGAGATTTGCAGTATTTCAACACTACTTACGAGGTGA